GGACCCTCGATCGGGCCATGACAAAAGTCAAGGCCGAGATAGATATCTCGGCCTTGGGCATCAAGGGCTTAAGGCCCAAGTACGCTGCCACCGGGGCCCTCCTGGTGGAGGTCCCTGGGGAGGGGGGTGCAGACAGGGCGGACAAATTGGCCGCCCTGATGCGCACTTGCCTCGAGGGCACGGGCGCCAAAGTGGCCAGGCCCACGAAACGCGTGGAGATGCGCGTGTCGGGCCTGGCCGATGGCACAAGGAGCGGCGAGGTCATCGCCGCTCTTGTGGGAACGGGAGGATGCCCCAAAGGGGATCTGCGTGTCGGGGAGATCCGACGTGCCCCCTCGGGACTTGGGACCATCTGGTGCCAAGTCCCACTTGCGGTGGCCAGAAGACTGGCCGCTGTCTCAGAGGGGCGCAAGCTATGCATCGGGTGGATGCTGGTCAGGGCGGAAGTCCTCAGCACCCGCCCGATGCAGTGCTACCGCTGCCTGGAGATCGGGCATCCCAGGCAGCGGTGCACAAGCGCGGTGGACCGCAGCGATAAGTGTTATCGCTGCGGGGAATGTGGCCACCGCGCGGCAACGTGCTCGGCCTCCCCTAAGTGTCCGTTGTGCACGGACCTGGGGAGGCCGAGCAACCACCGGCTGGGTGCACCCTCGTGTGCCCCAGCAAAAAAGGGGGTTAAAAGGGAGGGAGCTGGGGGAAGAGCCCAGGGGGAAAAGAAAGGGGCTGAGGGGAAAGCCTCGGCTGGGACAGAGCCTAAATTCCAGCCGAGTAAGAAGCCCGAGCAGCAGGGCGGGAAGAGGAAGGCCACGGTAGTGGCTTCCTCTTCGACAAAGAGGAAGGCGGGGGCCGGGGGATGCCCATCAGATAAGGCCTAGTGATGGCGGGTGTTCCCGCCACCACTGGGCCAAAGGTGATCCAGGTCAACCTCAACCACTGTGCGAGTGCGCAAGACCTTATGGTCGCCAATCTCGCGCAGTGGGGGGTTGACCTGGCGATAGTCGCGGAGCCTTATTACTTGCCGCATGACGCGGTCAGCAGCAAGTGCGGCTCCGCGGCTATCATATGGAGGAGGGAGACCCCTGGCCTCCGGTTTGAGAGCCTGGCCGCTGGAGTCGGCTGGGCGGCGGCGAACTGGGGAGACACCACCTTTGTGAGCTGCTACCTCAGTCCCAAATGGGACCGTCACGCGTACGAGAAACTCCTGGTGGGACTGCGGACCTTCTTGGTCCAATGTCGCAACCCCAGGATCTTCGTCCTTGGGGACTTCAATGCCAAGTCTACGGCTTGGGGGAGCCCCGGGGATAACGTGCGCGGGCGGATCCTTGGGACATGGGCGGAGGGCTCGGGGCTACGCGTACTCAATCGCGGCTCCGAGCCCACGTGCGTGCGGCCTCAGGGAAA